CCCGGTCAGTTTTCTTATCTTTAAATGAGGAAGGTGGGCTGATGGCATCTGAGGACCAAGTCATGAAGCTATGATTCTAATACTTTTAAGTGTCACTTGGTCATCATTGTTTCATTAAAATGTCAGCCTTCATGTTGGAAAATGATTGTCTCTGCAAATTGACCCCTTGGCTAAATAAGACTTATGGAGTGTTTGGTTTTTTTTAACCATAAAATTATTTACAACATCAGATTAAGTCTTGAATGTTTTTTCCTTCCATATACAAAGGCAAGATATAAGAAAGGGCCCTAGAACCTGACATCTACTCAGGCCACATAGAACTATGGATCTTGGGCAAGTTAGCTGGTATGACTAGTATTTAGATCTTTAGGGCATAGACTTGGAATGTTCTGTTTCCATGCTATAATTTCGCATAGGAGGAAACTGAGGCACAAGTATCTCAAGTATTCATCCAAGGTTATTTGCTTGTTGGTGACAGAGCTATGCTTAGAACATGGGTTTTCTTAGTACTCATGATTATATTAAAAAGGAAAAATGTTTCCTTTAGAACAGAAACATTAGATTATGTTTCATGTACCCTAGGAAGGCAGAGAAACGTGCAGTCACTATAGAAACATTTATAGCCATTTCTAAAAATTCAGTACTGAAATGTGTATTTCATGTGTGTTTCGGTTATTTAGTTTAGAAAATTGTCCAAAATGGAAGTCTGATGTCACAACAATGATCTAGGTATTCTCTTGATGAAAGGGTTACTTGGTGTTTGTCCTACAGTAGTTGTTGAAAAACTTGCCTTCTCTTAATTGTATTCAATAAAATTATACACCTTTGGACTTATGTGCTTTTTGTAATTATACAAGATTTACAGATTTTAACAGATAATTGTATGGAACAAATACATTAAAGATTTAACCTAAAAAGAGAAAAGCAGATGAGGTAAATGTGTTGGAGTCAATATGAAATTGAAGATATTAATTAATTTCTCTTTATTAGTTTCTTAATAGTTGTAGTATAAAAAATGTAGAAATCCATAAATTTAATATATCTATTTTGTTTTCTAAACAATTTAGTTCTTTTAGTAGGTATCATTACCATTGTCTTGAATTTGAAAGGGCTGGATCAACTAATCCCCAAATTTGCTTCACTTTATTTTCATTTTGTAGCTCAAGCTTGTCATTTATGGATGAAAGATTTTTAACTAATATTTTGTTTCTTCTCAACTCTTAAAAAAAAACAGCCCAGCGATCTGCTCAAGAACTTCCTCATATTGAGAAGTACAGTATCAACAGCTGTTCTGTAAATGGAGGTCATGAAATGATTGTGACTGGATCTAATTTTCTTCCAGAATCCAAAATCATTTTCCTTGAAAAAGGACAAGGTAAATAATATGTGAGTTGATTGACTTCAAACTAAGGGGCAAAAGGATGAAATAAATTATTAAGATGTTTCAGTAATAATGACAAAATAGTTTCCTAAAGCTACAGGCATTTATGCAGTTGATTTTATTGTAAACCAAACATTTATTAAATTTTAATATAAATGTTAAATTCTCTTTAAAGATGTCTTAAGAGTAGAAAAATTCCCCCAGCAATTCTACTTCTAGGTATATACTAAAAAGAATTGAAAACATATGTCAATACAAAAACTTAGACACAGATGTTTATAGCAACTTTATTTATAACAGCCAAAAGATGGAGACAACCCAAATGCTCACCAGCTGATGAACAGATAAACAAAGTGTGGTATATCCATCTCATGGGATATTATTTGGCCATAAAAATTAACGAAATACATACTACCACATGGATAAACCCTGAAAACATGCTAAGTGAAAGGAACTAGCACAAAGGTGACATATTATATGATTCCATTTATATAGAATGTTAGAATAAACAATCTACAGAGACAGAAAGTAGATAAGTGGTTTCCAGTAGTTGGAGGAAAGTGTTAATGGAGCGATTTCTTTTTGGGGTGATGAAATATTCTGAGATTAGAAAGTGGTGATGGTTGTACAACTCTGAATAAACAAAAAAACCTCTGAATTGTATACTTTAAAAGAATGAAATTTATAGTATGAGAATTATATCTCATTTTTTTTAAAGTAGAAGAACCCAGTGTTTATCAGTGTTTTATTTTATCCCCCTCCCCTCTTCCTCCTCCTCCTCCTTCCTTCTTCCTCTTATTCTTCTTGACGGAGTCTCACTCTGTCGCCCCAGCTAGAGTGCAGTGGCATCATCATAGCTCACTGCAACCTCAAACTCCTAGGCTCAGGTGATCTTCCTGCCTCAGACTCCGAAGTAGCTGGGCCTATGGGCATGAACCATGACGCTGGGCTAATTTTTCTATTTTTAGTAGAGATGGGATCTCACTCTTGCTCAGCCTGGTCTCAAACTCCTGAGCTCAAATAATCCTCCCACCTCGGCCTCCCACAGTGTTAAGATTACAGGCGTGAGCCACTGGGCCCAGCCCCTTTCTTGAGTATATTTAAAATACTTTTCCATCAATTATTTCCTCTCAGTTTTGAAACATTTTAAAAATTGTGAAATATTAATACCATTTTTATGAGTAATATAACAAATACTTGTATCTACTACCCAGCTTAAGAAATAAAACAGTTACCTTTGAAGGCCTTTGGGTACCCCTTCCTTACCTAAATCAATCCCTGCTTTTCTTTATAGTTTTATTTTATACAGTTTTTTCCCCCCATTTTGGGTTTCTACAATATTGCATGTATTCTTCAGAAAATTGCTTTTTTCAGAGGTCAAGAATTAAGGTTTTAAGATTGAGCCAGCCACATTGATTCATGTAACTAAAGATCTTTTGCTTTCACTACTGTATAGTTTTCTTATTATATAAATGTACTGCAATTTATTCTTTCTCTTACCGGATAATTGGTTTTTGTCCAGTTTTTGGCAGTGCTGAACAAACAGTAGCTAACAATGCTGCTATGGATGTTCTGGTTCTTACCACCTAGTGGACATATGCAAGAATATTGTAATTCTTAAATTTTGTTAAATCTATGAGGGGTAAAATGGTATCTTGAACTTTGGGCTCAAATTTCCCTGGTACCTATTGAGGTTCTTATGGGCCATTCATATTTCGTTTGTTGTGTAGTACTGTTAGTGCCTTTGTCTGTTTTCTCCACTGGGTCATTTTTCATTTTCTTAAAAGAATTCTTTCTATATTCTGGATATCAAAATGAGTTGGGAAACTTTTCCTTCCTTTGCCCCAACTGTTTCCTCTTTTTTTTTTTTTTTTTTTTT